GCGTCAATTCACACGCTTCAACAAACATCCCCCTCTCGGCCAAAGCGCATCCCTGCTCTCCCACACAGGTTCCTTACGGGCATGCCAAGTCGTCGGGCAGAACGTTGATGAGAAGGGAAGATAAAAATCGTGCCTACGCAGGGATTTATGTAATGCTTCCCAATGCGTGTTTGTCCTAGGAACTATTTATGTTCTTTTTTTATCACATTAATTTTTTAAAAGCATTAATGTACATGTTTTTTTATTTTTTGCAACGTTGATGTCTTTGTCTTTGGTTTGTGTTGCAGCTGCTTCTGTGCTGGCCGAACGCGATCATCCGTGTAACAAATCAAATAATCTCAAACGCAATTTAAAAATGTTGACTTAAAACTTTCGTGACTACAGGAATTCATATCCTTTGGTTCTTTCGGTAAATTCACGTAGATATAAAAATAAAATTAAGCGAATAAAAATAATTAAAATTAAATAATAAAGTGAATAAAAATACATTATTTTAAAAAGGTACGAAGGTGCAGCCTCGGAATATGTTGCTCACGCCACTGCTGGGAGAAGAGCCTCCACCAGAGGGAGCTCTTGAGGGCCCCTCTAAGAAGGGATTTGACCGACTCTTCCACCGGAAAGATGTCTTGGAAGGAAGAGGTGGGAGGACTAACACCGAGGTTATCAATGGGCAATAACAGTGTCACCTTGCGAGCCGCACAACGAGACAATGCCACCGAGTGCGTGACGTGTGATGTCACGAAAATGCCATCGTGAGGAAGGACAGGCGATCACGTGACGTCCATCGCCGCCTTGTCCACCAAAGACGATCCCTTTCAGCGTTGGTTTCATCTGCAAGTTTCTGGGCAAACCCTTTTATCATAATTGGTCTGTTTACTCTCGGGTAAGTTGCTATTAGCAACAGAACTTCGTCCTTAAAAACAAAACCAAAAACATTCACACGAGGTCATCTTTGCAAGAGCATTATCGCGTCCCCGCCGTTACAGACAGAGCTGGGCGCGCAAGACAGCAGGCGGTGCCCGGACCGCACGGGGCTCTCCGCTCCGAGCTGAGCTATTGGTGGCGCGCACACGGAGTGCACTTCCCAAAAACGCATTTACAAATGTTACATCTGCGGGGCAGAGCTAATTCTGTTTATTTATGTGCCGCTTGCTTGCCGGTGACATTTGGAAGAGAGGGTTGCGGGGGGGAGGGAGGGACGGGTGGGGGGCAGAGCCGTGCGGATGATGGAGGTAGTCCATAAATCCTGGCCACATTCTGGTGGTTGGGCAAGGGGGACTCGGCTGACAGATGGAAAAGGGTAATGGATTCCTGTAGCAAGGGCGACCTCCAGCCGGATGTCCACACACACACACACAAGGGGCACCGTCGTTTTAATCTCTTCGACAAATAAACGGCACATTTACGGAATATCGCCGGATATTTTTTGCCTCTGCAAAACGAACGGTCGGGGGTAGCCAACGACAACAATTTGCCGCGCACTTTGATGCCGAGAGATTACCGCGCCGTGTTTACCGTGAATATTTACATTTCCTTCACGGTCATGATCGGCCACGATCAATCCACTGCCTGTAGATTGTGATTTTTTGTTTAAACCCAGGAATAATGTCCTCCCGTGAGAGGGAAGGACACATTTACATTTTGCTTGGCCGCCCTTCTTCACAACACGCAAGGAGGACATGGCCGTAACAGCCTCGCCTTCACCCAGGCCTGTTCATCCATGATGTAGCAGCCAGCACTATGCTCTATATTCTAATGCGCGGTTATAAAACGTGAACTGGCAGAAAACATCTTGAAATAAAAACCCAATGCAGAACACTGCTGAACAAAAGTCGTTCGACCCAGTGTGGCTTTCTTGGATAAATACCTTATTATTATCGTTATATAACGGTGCTCAGGTTCAGTGCAGCTCTTTAAAGACCCCCTGGGGCTGTCCGGCGAAATTTTTCGTTCGATCGATTTTTTTGTTGCGAAGTGGAGGACGTCTGGAAGCCACGCTGTTGTTCGTTGCCAGAAGGCGAGTGCATGCAAACCAGCAACAATCCAGCAATGCACACTGAACTCGGTGTCAACAGACCATCAGGGAGCTGATCAGGGAGATGATGGTCTCAATGAGGTCACCAATGGTTGCATTAAAAACACCATCGGAGTTAAAATGTGGATAATTTCTCGCTCTGAGAAATCAAAATATCGGGTTTTACTGGGAGGAACTTTTTTAAATAATTCAATCAAATCACCACACCAAACTCAGTTGCTTTTGTACCCACGATAATTTTTCTTTGGCAAGCCAGCATTTTCTGCTGTGCAGTTTTGGAGCGTTTCACTAGATGAATTATTGAAAGGTTCCAGCGCGCAAAATTAAAGCACGAAATTAGTTTTTAAACCTGAGCTGTGACGTGTAATTATAAAAATGCATCACGCACCGCTGCATGGGTTGACGTCACAGTGTGCTTACACGTGCTGGAGGGGTCCAGGTCTCTCATGCCAAGCGGACACCGCCACCCCCCCCCCCCCCCCCTCTAAACGAGTTCCCCCGCAACGCTCCAAAGTAAACACCATGTTTATTCATCAGTTCTCATGCGGACGCTTACCCACGCAAAACCATTGCGATTTAATTTGAATTGAGAATCAAAGGGGATGTGATTGTCCATATCAGATTTCCTCTTTCAAGTCATTCAATTCGCTTCGTAACGAAAATTAAATATCCTCCATTGCTGCGAACTTTTACTGGTAGGAACCTCCTGGTTACTACACCAGCCCACAGGGGATTATTGTGTCCGTCCGTCTTGCATCCAAAAATGGGAGGGGTGGGGCTGGGTGGAGAGGGGAGTGTGGGGAGGGGCTGGGTGGGAGGGCGGGGCTGGGTGGGGCTGGGTGGGGTGGGGCTGGGTGGGGAGGGGAGGGTGGGGAGGGGCTGTGTGGGGAGGGTGGGGAGGAGCTTGGTGGGGAGGGTGTGGAGGGGCTGTGTGGGGGGTGGGAGCGGTGGGGCTGGGTGGGGAGGAGCTGGTCACCCCGTGGTGCCCTTATAAAACTCAACGTTTAACCTACTCACGCCGGCTTGTGCCCGCCCTCACAGTCGGGCATATTTGCGGAATACACCACGTGGTGCCGCCGTGTGACCCTGGCCATTGACCGAGCAACCCAACGTTCCTACCAGCTCCCTCCGCAGGAGAATGTGTAAAGCTCCCGTCTTTACCGCTCCACCCCTCCCTTCGCTTCTTTGTTTACTTCCACACAAACAGCCCGCACTTAACGACCTTCCACAACTACAGATACATCGTCATCACGGTTATAAGGCTACATTAGATAATGTTATTGCAGTACGGAAAGGCTGAGGGGTTGAGAGACAAAACTAACGGTGGAAGTGGATACCGAATGAAGGGGAGAGAAGCCGTGATGGTGAGACACCATCACAGAGTTAAAACATATGATGTTGATCATCATGATGTATGTATGTTGAACTTCTTTCGCGCCGTACGCAGCCAAAGGTGCTAATCAGCAGTCACGATCTATCAACTGCTGGATGAAGGCATCCTCAGGCAATCTACACACACGACGCCATTTTGCGGCTTTAAGGTTGGCTGTACTCTCTCAAATCTATGTCCCCCCCCCCCCCAACCAAAGCCATCCTCTCAATCTATCAGATGGATGCTCTGAAAGTTGTGCTCTGCCCTGGGTCAGCTGTCCGCCTCACGTGATCTATAAGGTAAAGTGTTCTCAAGAAGCCGTTCCAGTCGTGAACGTGAGGCAGATCATCAACTGTGTTTGGGTGACCTGGTATAATGTGATTGTGTGTGTGTGACTGTACGTGAGCACGTGTGTGGGGAGCGGTGGCACTGCGGTTGGCACGCTGCACCATCAACCCGGATAAATGTCCTGCCACGGCTCACATCAGTGACAAGGATTTCTGAACCAGTCCTGGGCCTCCCCTACGTAACCTTAGTCTTAAATGAGTGCCTGATTCCGTGTAAACATCAACATTGGGGCGATTAAGGTGGCTTAGGCATGGTGCTGGTTACACCCACCCCTTCATGTACCACTGCCCTTAACACATGCACACTAACAGCACTTTCCCCCAACGATCTATAGAGGCTATACCAGGGATCATAGACCTGTGCCAAGTGAGCGTGGCACGGGTCACGATGTGCCAGGTTGTCTTTCCACTGCAGAAATGGAGCCGTGATACTGACACCGCAAGCAATTGAACGTATCATTAGCCCCGCCTCTGGCCCTGCTTGGCCCTGAGCCAGATCCAGATGACTCCTCATGAAGTCAGCGTGCCACGGTTTGGTTGCAGGCCTGCCTCGGCAAATAGCCAATGGTAAACCACCTGTACCGTGAGGGCCCTGCTCCAGCTCTGCTCTGTGATGCCAGTGGAAAAGGGCTTATTGTGTTTTTGTAACGGTGTGTGTGCGCGTGCGCATGTTTGTGTATGGGCAGCGGTAGTGCAGCGGTTAACACGATGTGATACGAACCAGGTGACCCAAGTGCGATTCCCACTCACGGCCATCAACACCAGTGACCATGATCCGAACCGGTGCTGGGCCTCCTCTCATAGTTCATAGTTAGGTCATAGTTAATTTATTTGGTATAGCCCTGTGAGCCATTCGGCTCTTGAATCGGGTGCAACCGCAACAAAGAAAAACATGAACAAGAAAACATCTTAAAGTGATTATGTGACTGTGCAAACAGAAAAAAATATCAAAATATTCCTGAAATAGCACCGTACACCAACGCTGTGTGCAAAAATCCCAGTGGGATGCAAGTCAAATGGTCGACTCTAGGTCGACTCAGCCTCAAATGAGTGCCTGGGTGCAGTATGTAAACATCGCCACTGGGGAGACAAAGGCGGCCGGGCGTGGTGCTGGCCACCAACCCGCTAGTGTGCCGTGCCGGCCTTCATAGGTGCTCGCTAACAGCACTTGCCCCAACAGTCTGTTACAGGCTATATGAGGGGGGTAGGGGGGGTCTTTGTGTTTTGTGTGTGCCACTGCTCATACCAGGTGCATGGTGAGGATCTCCTGGCGGTTGAGCATGGGCATGAAGAGCACCCACTGGCTCCTGTGGTTCCTCCGCGTGAACACGGAGAAAATCTGCGCGTGCTCTCCGTTCTCCTGCACGAGGAACACGATTCACCTGCATGAGCTGGACCGCACGTGAGCAATTTCTCTCGGATCGTTCCTGCAAGAAAATCCCGGGGCATGCGGAGCGAAACGACGGACGCCGTGGCCAAGAACGCGAGCTACGAGGCGGCACGGCCGCGAAACCCTGCGCTCTAGAATCAGATGTCATTGGGTTTAAAAAAAATGAAAACAACTCGATAAATAAAACAAATCTTGTTTGGAAACAAAACGCGAGGCCGTTACAGCCCATCGAGCAACTCGCAAGTCGGGGAGTCAACAGTCGCGGAGAACCGTCCCGACGCAACTGGGAAAATAATACATTTTAAAACGGACGATGTTTGGCGCGGAAATGAATTCCTTCGCTGAAGGCAACTTAACGTTGAACCGTGGTAGGTGACAGGCGGGAGTGGGAATCCCAAAGCACAAGGGCTTCACAGCTCCGTGACCCTTGGCCACCTCCCCTGACCTCCGCGTCCCTCGCTTTGGGTTCACGACGACGGCGGAGACAGAAAAGCAGGGAAAGCCATTGGGGGGCGGGGGGGGCGGGGGGAGCGGTGGGAGCAGGGGAGGCTAAGAGGCATTGCATCCGGCCGGCGGCCTGCGTGAGGCTCAGTGTGCCACAGCTTGATGATTTTGCGTGAATGGTGAAGGTGCAGCACTTTACACTTCAAGCTGAGATGCCGGACGTCACGCGGCCTTCTAAAATTCTCGCTCACGCCACTGCTAGCAGACATGCTTCCACCAGAGAGAGCTCCACACCCACTGCCAGTTATTAACCAGGGCAGCCACGGGGCTCGAACCGCGAACGTCTGCGACCTGAGGCGAACACGCTACCGTACGGTTGTGTCGCAGCCAATTTGTATTACTTTATTATTGTTACGCTTATTTACCAAGGAAAGCCTCACTGAGTCCCAAGACTCGTTTTCAGGAGAATCCTGCCACATTTTTTTTCGCAGGAGGAGCCAATGTTGTCAAGCGCAATTCTCACAGAGTAATTCGCAAGGTAATGTTTCAGCATTGCTAACCTTGGCCAACGCCAGCTACATTGTGCGGTTGTCTGGTTTTTTTTTTAAGCTATGGGAGGAAACCGGTGAACCCGGAAGAAACCAATGGAAACAAAAAAAAAGGAGGTTCGGACATACAAACTGCACGCAGAAGGGCACGCGGAGTCGGGGTTCGAAGCTCGGCCCTTCTTGCTGGGAGGGCACAGCCAATCGCAAGCGAGATAATCCGGAGAGCGCGGCCACGCGGGGAAGGCAGCAACCGAACGACGGCGGTGAGCTGTGCGCGCGTCACCTGCAGCAGGTCTTCGATCAGCACGAGGACGAAATGCACGACGCTCTCCTTCACGATGCGCGTCACCAGGTGCAGGAGCGTCTGGGCGCACTGCGGAGAGAGAGACAGAGAGAGAGAGAGAGACACGGGGAGAGCGACTCTATTCTCGATTCTCGCCATATTGCGCGCGCAAGCAAGTCGGCCCTAATTGCAGCACCTTCGCGGCCGCTGTCTATTGACATTTAGAAAAAAAATATTAAGCTGGCAGATCGAAGCCGCGCGAGCTAAAACTTTGAATGATTCATTGCGCACGACGGCAATGAGCGCTTGATGGGAATGCCATTAATAATGCATAGTTTAAGCAAATGTTTCCCCGACATGGTGAATGCTGTACTGTGCAATTAAAAAAAACTAAGTCAAGGTAAAGGTGCAGCACTGCAATTGCTTTGTTACGCCGCTACTGGGGGAAGAGCCTCACGTAGAGGGAGCTCTAGAGAGGCCCCTTCTCTCGAGTACTTTGTCCTCCACCTTCTCCTTCACGCTGGCCAGACGCATTGGAAGGGGCTGCGAGTATCCACACTTTACCCCGCCGCACGCGCCCCACTGGTGGACGGACCGACAGTGCTGTAGGGCAGAGCTCCCCAACCCCCGGGCCAAGGACCAGTACCGGTCCGTGGCCTGTTAGGAACCGGGCCGCACAGCAGCAGGAGGTGAGGGCGGTGGGTCTGCACGTGGCCCGCCCCCATTATTTTATTGACCACTTCCGTCCGCACCTCTATCCCGCACTGCGCACTTGTCTCAGTCACAGTGTTGGTAAGCTCACAAGCTAACCCCCTAGTAGCCACAATGAGTAAGCCCACAAGCTAACCCCCTAGTAGCCACAAGGAGTAAAAAACAAACGTCGCTGGAGAGCTTCTTTGAAAAGGGGGAAAGACCCAAAGATGACCCCCACCCCTCCCCCAGTCCGTGAAAAAAATCTCTTCCACGAAACCGGTCCCTGGTGCCAAAAAGGTTTGGGACCGCTGCTGTAGGGCATTTACACTGCTGGGTGGGGGAGGTTTAGGAAACTCGCTCCGTTGTTCCAACTGCCGCACCGGGAGATCGAATTGAAGCGACGACCTCTGGGTTGCGAGTCCGCTGCGCTCGCTGCTAAGGCAGAATTTAATGGGACATCCCACTAATGTAAATTCTGTTAGTTTGTCCAATGTTCAGCTGCAATGCGTTTCGGGATCACACAGGCCAAATCAACGACAAAAAGCCAAGCTGATACGAAATCAGACAGGGGCGCCAGGAGAATCGTGCGGAACTTCATCGCTCAAAAAAGTTGTTTTGGTTGTGAGGGTGAAGCAATCACAGCAGCTGTGAGCGACGTCAATCCCGGAGGCAAAACGATTCCCTTGCAAGCCGCTCGGAGTTCGCGATGTTTGCGATTCACCTGCGAACTCCGCAATGTCCCGCGAAGGCTTCCCTGCTCGGAGCAGCCTGACTCCAGATCCGCCCGGCGACGCGAATGCGATAATGAAAAAAATATAAAGAACCTCTGCGGTTTGATGAAAGATCGATTGTAGCTCCGTTGGTTTTGTTTTAAATGAAAAGCAACCCGCATGTCCATTGGACATGACCATCCGCCCATCCCTCCCAGCCAGCCAGCACAACTTTTTAATCTTATTTTAATCTTACTATATAGAGCCCCGTCTCTCTCTCTCTCCACATTACTCTTGGCTTCTCTGTGCTGATATATCCCAATTAAAAATGTTTGCTGATTACAGTGAAAAAGAATGGTAGCTGTACTGTAAATTCACCAGAAGAGGTAGACCTTAAATTACAATGTCATCTTGACCTTATTCAGTGTCAGCTTATTTCCCCTGAAGATTATTTCTGAATGCAAACAATGATTTTCTCCAACAAAGATAAATCCTGTCACGTTTCCAACCCAGGTTATGTGTCGAGATAATCAACAAATCGAACAACTCTAAATTGAAGTTTAACTCCCATTTTAATGATTATATTCCAAAGAAGATTAATGTTAACATTGGCTTCCTATACAGACGTAAAAACCGCATACCGTCTATGCTATGTTTAGATATTGTAAGAGCAAGCATATTTCCATTTTTTTTATAACCACAATGTTGTCTATCAGTTCGCTTCTGCGTTTGCATTAAATAAGCTAAACTCACTCTACCATTCGGCTCATCACTGTGTACTGGATGCTCCCGACAGTACCCATCATTGTGACCTTCACAGTGTCTCGGTTCGAACTCGAACTCCCTCTCTGCCCGTAGAAACATGCACTGGGGTCTGCTTATTATAACGCTTCTTCTTGGCTAACTCCGCTAAATATTTGATGCATCTGTTGACCCCAAAAATGAAAGAAAAAAACAAAGTCTTAGAAAGCTCTCCCTGTGACCTCTTAAAAATCCCCTGGCATTGAGACGGCCGTGAGAACAACTGACGAGAGAGGCGAGAGACGGAGTCTCGCTCCGGAGCAGAGACCGAGCGGAGGGGGGTGGGGGAGCAGCAGAGGGAGGCGAGAGGCCGAAGCGGCGAGACGGCGTAGCGGAGTTCCGAGGCCACGACCGCTCAGTGCCAAACTAAGAGAAGTGGGAGTCAATTTTGGGAGGCCTTTGTACGGATGAACGTCGAACGTCTTTCGCACCGTACATGGCCAAGGACAACAAACTAAACGTCGCCTTTGCCAAGCGGCGAGACGTTACGGGCCGACGGCATCTCGCGCTGCCGATGTGTGTGGGGCTGAGTCTCGTGCGTGTTACCTGCGTGCCCTCGATTTCCGCGATGCGGCGCCGCTGCTCGGTCCCAGCCGCGGTAAACCGCTGGATGAACTCAAAATCGTCAGCGGAGATGAGCTGGCTCCTGCGGAAACGTGAACAGGCTCACGTTGGTGACTCGTCCCTCCGCCGAGCAGGAGACACGCGGCTCTGCGGCCAGGGGTAACTCGCCTGCTATGCCGGGGGATCGCGGGTTCGATCCCGAACCTGACGCCTGCTGCTGTTTATTTGGAGTTTGCGTGTTTCCCCTCGTGATCGCGTGGATTTTTCCCTCCGCATTGAAAATCAACGTGCGTTGGGAGTATTTGGATGCTATAAATTTCCAAGCGATAAGGCGCTTCGATGAGCTATCATTTATGGCCAGGTCGCTTCTGAAAAGCGATATACTGTATAGCTCAGTGAGCCTTATCTGGTAAAATATAAATAGTTTAGTACTGGCCACACCGCGCTAGGGATCCCATCACTCTCCACGTCTTCCTTCTTGGCCAAAATAGCAGCTGGATTCCTGCTGCTGCTTCAGTAATTTGCGAATGTTTGCAGAGAAAATTACAATGCAAAACACTCTATTGTTGTGGGTTAACTGCGCATGGAAACATTCCAAAGGGAGGTCCACCGCTGAGATGGAGCGATTAAAGCAGTTCGTGCCCAGATGCTAGGTGGGTTTGTCACAAAGCACAGTGGGTTGGGGGAGGCCATCATCCAGCAGTGGATTGACCATGGCCGATGATGATGATGATCATGATGATCAAATCATTGAAATAAAACATGTCACAACAAATCCTGCGAGTTGGTTCACGGACAAAACAATATTTGGGGTGGAGTAGTGGCACAGTGCTTAGCGCCTGATCACGTGGGGTGGAGTAGTGGCACAGTGTTTAGCGCCTGATCACGTGGGGTGGAGTAGTGGCACAGTGCTTAGCGCCTGATCACGTGGGGTGGAGTAGTGGCACAGTGTTTAGCGCCTGATCACGTGGGGTGGAGTAGTGGCACAGTGCTTAGCGCCTGATCACGTGGGGTGGAGTAGTGGCACAGTGCTTAGCGCCTGATCACGTGGGGTGGAGTAGTGGCACAGTGCTTAGCGCCTGATCACGTGGGTTCGAGTCGGGTAACTCTCTGCGGCGACTGTTTCTGAATTAATCCTCCACGCTCGTTTGCCAATCCGCACTTATCAGCGTGGTGAAGTATGGTCAGATAACACGGCAGGACTGACAGCATGAGGAGGCCTTCATCCAGCAGTGGATTGATAAAGGGATGCAAAACAATATTTTTAGTTTTTATGTCCCAGCAATACCAAAATAATGTAAGTAGAAGACAGCACAGAGCAGAACTCTGTTCTGGGTCTCCACGTATAAGCAGAAACACGTGTTTGACTCCATGGGCCTGTTGATCGATAACTACCCAGCGACAGAGATTTTTTGTTTTAACAAGTAAACTGTGGACAGGATTCTACCTTCGAGGCACTCATCAGCAGTGTCCATGGGAATGTTAAACCAATGCTGCCGGGTTAACGGATGTTTTTGGCAATTAACAGGTCCCTGCAGGGTGGGCTGGTAGGACAAGTCTCTGCGCTGTCTATTGCTGATTTTACACCCAACAGCACGAGATTTCACTTCGTTAAAGTATTGAAAGGGGACGGACGGACGGACACATTAATCTATTGCAGGCTGGTACACTCAGTTTACAACTTCGTTCCTACCAGTAAGAGCACTCTTATGTAAAGGTTACGGACTCAGTTGTACGCGGGAAAAATGTAGTTCTGTGAGATAATATCGGACAGACTCAATCGGAGGAAAATGATGAACGAGGGAAGAGTGCGGGGGGGGGGTGAGGACATCAGCTGTTGGAATAAACATCCTCCGTGTCAAGGGGCTCTTGCTGTACAAGACCGAGTGTAGATATGTGTTGAGAGAATACGGAAGCACTCGACTGCGTTTAAAGCCCCACGCTGTTTGAAAATAAACAATACACTCCAGCCATTCTCGATGCACCAATGGGATGAGGGCTTACACATGTACGTGTTTGTATGCTGAACTTCTTTCGCACCGTACGTTGCTAACCGTGCTCAGCGGAGGTGCGGGGGAAGGACAACAAACTAAAGACAAAAAGCAGTTTGAAATACATGAGGTTGCAATCTAGGCGATTTTAAAGTGAATAGCTCCAGTGGCTTCCTGATATCGTGAGGAAGAGCGTTCCAGACGGCCGCAGAAGCGAATCTGAAAGCGCGCGATGCTATGACCGCCTTTGTTCAATGATCAGCCCATGACTGACACATGTCGTGGCAGTCATGAGGGGCGGGGAGGGGGGGTGTTTGACCATACTTCACCACACTGATTAGTAGGAGGGAGGGGGGTGTGCAGGACTGGTTCTGATGTCAGCTGTTTTGTCGATTAACAACATAAACATAGATTACCTGCTTATGATTTAGATTCGGATACTCACCATCAACCACGATCCCACGTGACACATTTTGTACGGCATTATATTACCGTTCTAACCGTTTAATGGCATCACAAAATGTAACGTACATGAAGTGATAAAAATAAGAATAGGTTTTACCCTTTCTGGCAATAAAACAGGAGGTGTTAAGATGTTAAAACACCAAATGGAAACCTTTTGCAAGCCATCAAGTCTGCATTAACAACACGTGCTTGCGGCAAAACATGCAAACACACACGCTCTGATGACACATATACGTTATATATCATATATACGATATGTACGTTGTATTTTTTTAACAGATTAGCCTACACCATGAAGTGGCAGTCTAAAAAGGTTTTAATTACCCAACATACCCAATTAGGTTAAACCACAAAGTAACATTGCCTACGCCTGGCAGATTACACCCGTATAAGAAACAAAGCGCCTTCGTGACAGCCACGAGCAGCTATAGGCATGGAGTAAACAATATCGAAATTACATTATTGTTATCCATAACGTGTGAAAGAATGGCCAGGTGGTTAAATTTCGATTTAAAGCTTTCGTGACTGCAAGGATTCATCTTCTTGGTTCTATCGGTAAAGTCACGCAGAATGAGAATAAAACAATAAAACAAAATAAGACAATAAAATTCTCACGACGTTTTGGCCACAACACAAGTAGCCTTCTTCAGGTGAAGGAACAGAACTGTCGGGACGACAGCGCTTCAAATTTCGAAGCGCTGTCGTCCCGACTTTACCGAAAGAACCAAGAAGAATGGCCAGGTGATTGCAGTGCGGCTGCTGAGAATCCACGCCGTCACGCCCGCATTGTTAAGTGGATGTGGCGTGCGCATCCGAAGGGCTCAACACGATCAGCCGTTCGCGATCATTCGTCGCGACGACGAAAAATGGGGCCCACTTTCAAACGACGGAAGACAAAAACAATTTTGTACACGGCAATCAATGTTCCAGCTCTCTGGTGGATTACTATGACGGCTCTCTCTCTCTCTCTCGGCGCCTCTGACTTGACGCCGTCCGTGGAATCGTAAAGAGCGATCAAGGCGGAGGAGCGGCGCTGAATAACGTCGAACACAACGCCAGCCCACGACTCTCCGTTGGTCCGAGGCTATAATTGCCACGGTTTACGGGGGGGGGGGGCGTTTGCTTTCGGCTCCCAGATGTACTGATATGAGAAAGCGATTCGGTACGGAGAGAGGTACAATCCCATTAAGGTAATCATGCCAATGCCTGGGCCAGTGGCTAACATCAGGTTAAGTGTAGCGGACATGGCAATGTCCACCCACACTGAAAATAGCGCGTGCAGATTATGTTTTGAGAGCTTAGCAATCGCGGCGCATTCCGAGAGATTGCAGAGGCAGCAGCAGCAGCCATTGTCATTCCACTGCTGGATGAAGGCCTCGACATGCCGTCACCACCCCCACCCCCCACTCACGGCTCTTCGGCGTAGCAATCCACCTCAGCAAACCGTGCGTGGGGCACACTGAATCGCTCCAAACCGGAGTGAAGAATCAAAATGAACCTGAGACTCAAACAAGAGTCTCAATATCTCATCGCTCAAACGAGCGACAAGCTAATGGGACGCGACTCATCTGACAAATTCCACATTCCCAGGGCGCCTGCGAGTCTCGTGAGCGGGCAGCCCACGGTTGATGTTCCTGCAAGGGTGACACCCATTGCGTTAATCTACAACGGCATGATGGACCGAGTCTGTTATCCCCGACTGGAATTCAAAACTCGCAACTTCTTGAATGCGTGTCGAAAGCTCTCAAGACTTTGTTGTAGCTGGCGAGGCCCCGTGGAGCTAAGCACCTCTGGTAGAAGGACGACCACAGACCCACTGCGGTCACTTAGTGGTGATAGTTACGAGGCATCTATTGCAGGGAGCAAATGTGCAAACTGACCAGAGCAAAAGCAAGGACACATTATTTACACGAAATCCACGCCAGAACATACTGCGAATAGGATATTCAACAAATAAATAGTGCTTCAATACAAATTTTATCAAAACAATGTCAGAAAATCCTGTCACAGACGTTTGAAAATAAACCATATGTCCATCCTCAGACATAACGGAGCGTGGTTTATAGCATGAGCTCATATAAAAAAACATGAGCTCAAACTGCCGTCACAGGACAAACACGCCTCATTTAAAAGGGAATGCATCTTATCTTCTCTGGCCAGAATACAATGTATCAGAATATGAAAGTATGCCGTGGCGTACCCGGTTATACTGCTGTGCGGATGGAGGCTGGCCACGTGTGGTGAGGTGCAGCGTGGGCACTCCCGCCTCATCCACGATCTCTGGCCAGTGTGGAAGAGTAGGCCAAATACCCTCTAAGACGGGGTCTTCTAGAGCTCCCGCTAGCAGTGGTGTGAGCAAGCAATTGCAGGGCTGCCCCTTTACCTTTTTAAAATAATCTGAAATTTTCCCCCTCCCCCACATCACCCGCAGTAAATCTGGGGTTCTTATCAATTCCAACCTCAATCGTTTAAAGCAGACACAAAATCATACATACTTCTCATTCCATTGAATGTTCCCTTGAACTGAACTGCAATGCACACAGCTCACTCTTCCAGCGAGCACATTGCACGCGCACTCAGAGTTTGTTCACTGTTCCATACCATTGCCCGCAAGAGTGATTTCACA